AAACACGCAACTATGAGCTCTGTATAATCAGATCTAGTTGTCAGAAACGAAACGGGAAAAGTAGAAGCACAGACCAAGAAGGCAAAGGCAAACCGACCCACTAGTAACACCAGCGTCAGAGCCCTAAAACAATGGCGGTCGCAGTCTCGCAGAAGGAAAGAGAGACCTGTTAGAGTTATACAACCAAAACTGTGAAAACCCAAAACCCAGCGCCATTTGTCAGAAGTGAAAGACAAACCCACAAACACAGAACAGGAAAATCCAAGAAACCGAAGCAAATCACCAAAAAAGCAATGCCTGGCTAGGGCTTTCACGTATCAAGCATAGACAATAAAGACCTATGAGACTATAAAATAGTAACAATTACCACAAATGTGATAACTCAAAGAAATTTAGAAAAAAAAAATGGTTTTTTTCTCCTTTAAAACAGAGAGAAGATAGTGATGGCCATCACAAGTGTGAAAAAACTCAAAAGAAAATCCCATCCTTCAAGAAACCAGAATCCTTTTCTTTTTTTTTGGGTAAGATACCAAAAATCTAAAACAATGGCTGGCTCCTTCATGTAGTAGACGGACTAACAAAATGAAAGAAAACAAATCGACCCATTACTCAAAACAAAGCATCGGAGCTTTAAAACTAGTTCTTTTCACGTATGGTAAGCATAGACAGAGGCCAAACCCAACAGAAAAAAAAATGGAGAGAGAGAGAGAGAGAGACTGAGACCTGTGAGGCTTTGAGAGCACAAAACAGCACCCAAAAGAGAAAACTCAAAAACCCAGAACACAAAAGCAAATCCCAGAACTCCTAAAGAGATTAATTTTCTTTCTTTTTTGGGTGTGACTTTGGTGAAGTCTTTTTTATTATGCGGTATTAAAAATGGAATCCCTCCCTACTACCTGCTCTTGTTGCATTCTCTCTCTCTCCGTCTCTCTCTCTTCAGGCGGTAACTGTACGGACGCAAGGAAAGAAGGGCATGTCCAGTAGCGTAGTGACGCGTGTCGTGGTCCCCTCAGCTGCCCGTCCCCTTGAATTCTAGTTTCCGGTCTTGACCGCTTTTCAATTCTATTACCACTTTTGTCCGCTTAACGACGTTATGACGCGGTCCATCCTCATTTTTTGATAAAAGGAGCAAAATATTAAAACTTTTCTTTTTTCTTCTTGTTTTTTGTTTTTTTGGGGGTAAATTTAATTTTATCATTTTTATTGGAAAATTGGAATACTATTCAGAGCATCTCCAATCAATATGTCAAATTACCACATAGACATGAAATGACAAAAATTGAGGTTTAAAGTTGCTTTAACTGAGTAGTCAAATATTACATAGATGTGAATGCCGAAAGAGATATGTCAATAATATATCAAAAAGCTTGATGTCAAATATTAATTTAATATTTTTTTAGTCATGGTCCCAACTATCATTTACTCTTTTTTTAAACTTTATGAAACATATGAACCTTATTTGCGTTTAAAAATATAATAAAATAAGAGGAATTCTAGCACCCTTCTCTCTAACCTTCTTTTTTGGATCTTTTCTCTTCTTCTTATGTCATGTCATGTGACATTTTCTTTATACTAAAACAATGTCATTAACGCATAACTTTTGTTTTCCAAGATTACCCTTGATAAATATATAGACTATCATATTACCTTTAATTTATCTAAATTTTTTTCCAAATTAGAAAAATAAAAATAGAAATTAATAAAATAATATTTTGTTTTACCCACCAGCCCCAGCCATACGCCCCCATCTCCATCTCTCAAAACATGTTGCTTCTCCTGCCGGCCACCCATCACTACGTAACATCTTCCTCCCGCCCCTTGTTTTTTCAATGTTTTCATATATTCCTTTTTAATGTTTTAATTATTAATATCCTAAAACTGATAATTTTTATGTTTTTTAAAATTGAACTTCGTATTTTTTTTTAGGAACTAAGGGGGTATTTTATATCATTCCAAATTTGAAATGCTACCAAACTACAAAAGGGTTATCCACTAATGTTTCGGAAATTCAGATTGTCAACATTTTGTGTTTGTTAAATGGTTAGATTTTTTTTAAATAAAATTTATTTTTTTAATAGTAATTCAAAAGAAAGTTATAATACATTCAATAAAGGTAACTTTGGAAAACAAAAGCTATGCATTAATGACATTGTTTTAAGTGTAAAGAAAGTGACACACGGTATGAAAAAAAGAGAGAATGTCCAACAAAGAAGGTTAGAGAGAAAGTTGCTAGCATTCTCCATAAAATAATATGGTATTTGGTATTTTAGGTAGAGTTAAATTTGTTCCAAAGTGTCAAATTGATACATAAGCCATCAAATTCAAATTTAACATTCTGCATTTAACATCTCTCTTGGAGATGCTCTTATAAGTTTTACATAAATTTGTATCTTTTCTTAAATTTCAGAGAGATGGATCAATAGCTCATTACTAATTACATCGATATTATCCACAATTTAACCACTTACAAAGCTTAGTAGGTGTATGGTTTTATCACAAAAAGTTCTGATACTATTAGACTCGGTGTTTTGTATTGATTTCGGATTGTTTGATTGTTTGATTTGGGTTGGCTCACCACTAGTAGCACCAATATTGTTTCCAACTTAACCACATGTTTAGTAGTTGCGAGATTTTATTTGAAAGGCCTCCATAGTATTTAGAGTGGGAGCATTCATTATATGTTGTAATTTATTTGATCAAGTTTTCAATATGGGAATTTATACTCTTCAACACGCTCCCTCAAGTGGAACCACTACATAGTGGGCTATACGTGGAGCCACATCTACATCGGAGTCAACAATAAAGTCCAACTAGGGTTGATTTTTGGACATATCGAAATTAGAGGATTCTAATTCCATTCCAAAAAATTTCAAAATTTCAACTTCTATTCCAATTTGGAAAACTCAGAATTTTCGAAGAACTTTGGAACTTACCTATTTCATATATTTTTATGGAAAATTTAGGAAAATCATAGAAAATTTTAAACATAAAATCATTTTGACTAGATACTTTATCATCCATTTCGACAAGACATTACTAATAACACCATGTTATCAAAATCTGGTTTGTTCTTTTAGATCGGGAAGTGATTTATTTTAAAAAAAAAGAGGTTCTTATTAAGAAATAAATATGAAAACCATAAAAGAAGGCATCACACAAGTGTCTTATCAAACCATAAATATGAAAACCGTGGGTTGAAGTCTACTTTTCTTTTAAATTCTCTTCAGGTTTGTTTAGGAGTGATTCTGGAATGGCCAATTTATGGCGAATCACTTCTCTAAATAATCACTTTTAAGTGATTTTATGAAAAAGCACATGGGAAGTGTTTCTCCCAAAATTACTTCAAGAAAATGCAACAAGAGCAGGAGAGAGATGCTTCTTCGCAAAAGTGATTTTTTTTAAAATAAGCACGAGGGAGATGCTTCTTCCCAAAAGTGATTTTATTTTTTTTTTTTTTTTTTTTTTTTTTTTTTTTTAATCAAAGCCTATCTAGAATCACTTCCAAACAAGTCATTAATCAATAGCTAACTTCAGACAATCTTTGGAAGGCATTACACGTGTTTTCTCACATTCGTTAGGTTAATGTATTTTTTGGGGAACCATTATTGAATTTTTTTTGTGAGAATTGGGCCCAAGAAATTGGTTGTTTCATCGTGAGCCAATCATGCTCAAGAAAGAATCATTTTTAAATATGATCAGCTCTACAACCACTTGATGGAAATCTATCAATTTTCATGTGAAAAATGAATTTTTTAGGTTTAATAAATAATATTTGTAATCAATGCTATTTGTCAAATAAAAAGTAATTTTCTATTTTATTACTTTGATGAGTAGAAGTTGATCATGGGCTTAACTAGGAGTGCTTAACTAGGAAACGGGTCATCTCTATGTATAATAATAGTGCACAAACTTATTTAATGTGTACACTAATGAAAACATGTATTTGGTTTTTCTATTGTACGCTAACAATAGGCTATATAGAGAATTATCATGATCCCCTTTCTGTCTATATCATCATGGATCAAGTACACATATTGTGTGTTTAATTTTGGCATTAATTCCTTGCGAAAATCATGAAGTTCGTGATCTTTGTTATGATTGATTTTAATGGGTCAACTTAATATTATACTTACATGTGATATTAGAGGATAGTTGAGAACTCTCATGATTTTCCTTTACGCATTATACAGTTTGATTTATTAAATTGATCGAACCATAAAAATTTTGATTTCTTGGTTATGAATAATCGATAACATGTTTTCACTTTGGGTATTGATTGGTATACGTTACATAGGCTCAGCAATTAAAAGATGTTATATAAGCCCTTATAATCATTCATATTATTGCATCTTTTTCAAATGTGGGACTTTACAATAGGCCATCATTAGGACACCCAGTAGTGATTTCAAAATGCTCGTTGGCTATCTACTACAATGCTGAAATTACCAATTATCTTGCCCTTTACTCCACTGAGGAATGAGTAGCCATGAAGGGTTAAGTAGAGGAAGTGCATCCCTTTCGGGATGAATTGTTTCATTAACAAGTCAACGGCCAAAATAAATTATTAATTAAATCCATGTATATATATTACTTATATATACAGGAAAACACAAAAGAGTAGCTACCAAATTAGTGGGATCATTTCCGGCGCAGCTTTCTTAATACACATGCTTTCCATGTATATGCATCCATATATTCTATAAAAATATTTTCTTGAAATCTACACCATGTATATAATAATATAATATCATATACAAACATCCCTTATATTTATATCAACCTAGTTATTTACTGCATGCATGAATCATCAAGACTATAAATACCCTACAATGTTCAAGTTTTCTCCATCAACAACCTCTTAATTCCTACAGCTTCTTCTCATTCCAACAACATTCAACTTCATTTGTTACCATCGACATCATCGTTTTACTTCTCTCTCTCTCTCTCTCTCTCTCTCTCTCTCTCTCTCTCTCAAACGGAAAAGAAAAGAAAAGGAGAAAATGACTGAGGTTACAGGTTGTTTTAGCAGCGTAGCACTACTCATGATCCTATATATCTTACACCAATCATGTGTTGCTGAGAGTACATTAATTTACAATGTCCTAAGCTTTGGAGCTAAACCTAACGGTGTAATAGATTCTACCCAAGCTTTTCTAGATGCATGGACTGCAGCATGTGCCTCCTCCGATTCAACCACTCTATATGTACCCAAAGGGAGGTATTTGCTTCGCAATGCTATGGTTTTTAAAGGCGATAACTGCAAAAGCACAGATGTTACTTTTCGGATTGATGGAACATTGATTGCTTCGTGGGATTACCAAATCCTTGGCCAAGCAGGCAACTGGCACTACTACATTTTAGTCTTTGCGCGACGAAAGGGTTTTCGTCGCGCAAAAACGATTTTAGTCGCACATCATTATGCGCGACAGAATATTCGTCGCGCACAATCCGTCGCGCAAAGGTCGTGAAGAAAGGATTTGCGCGACGAACAAATGTCATTCGTCGCGCAGTTTGCGCTACGTATAACATCTTCGTTTCAAAAAACATTTCGGGACGACCTCATTGTCCGTCGCACAAATATTTGCGCGACGAACCAGAGGTCGTCGCAAAAAAAACTGCGCGACGGAATTGTCCGTCGCGCGAACTACATGAACCTTGCGCAACGACATCTTATTCGTCGCGCATACACATCTTGCGCGACGAAATTACTCGTCGCGCAAGATTAAGATATATTTAAATGTTTTTGCGCGACGATTTACGTTTCGTCGCGCAAAAGCAATATATATTATTAAAAAAAATTTATTATTATTTGATTTTTAATTTTGTAAAAAAATAAATGTTGTTTTTTTTTTAATTAAAATGAAATTACAATTTAAAAAAATTAATCGTAAAGAAAACATCTATTATATAAAATAAAATAAATGTATACAAATTGTAAAATAAATTATAAAAATAACAAACTAATCAAATAATGTTCCGAAATCTAATTGGTCATCTGCCACATGCGGCTCGGAGGTATGCGGCTCGGAGGTATGGGCGTCTGCAGGGGCCGTGGTGTGCTGGGGATGCTCGGGCTGGACGGGCTCGGAGGTCGACGCACCAAAATTCGGGATTGGAATCCCGGACCGCGCGAGCGACTGCAGAATCACCGACATCTGACCCTCAAGCTCGGCAACCCGCGATGTCAAAACAGTCACCTGACTGTTTGCCTGCGACGATGACCGCGGTCGAGGTTCCCTCTGTCGGGCATTCCCCATCCCCCTACAATACGTTCCCGGCCTCCTCCCGAGAGTCTGATCCAACGTCTGCGTCAAAATCTGAAATCCAGCATCATGCGGAGGATCCACAGACTCGATCGGAGTCTCGGGAGGAAGTTGGGAGGCGGACTCTTGAAGAACCAACTGGCTCCTCTCCACCATCGTCGTCTGTTTAACATTACATAAAATATAAATTAAAAAATGCATATAAATTGAAAGTGTAACATAAGAATTAAAAATACATAATACTTACATGAAGGGACTCGGCCAACTCATCCCCAGGTCGAACATAAACGTCACCAAAGACGTCGATCTCTGGGAATTTCGACCCCCCCCTTAATTGAACAAGAGAAGAAAAATATTAGTATGAACAAAAGAAATTAATAATAATGACATATTAAAAATTAAATATAAATTATATTATTCTTACCCGACGCCGTGCATCCATCCTATATGAGAAGGGCCTGGAGCCGGAATGGTGAAGAAGAGTCTTCTTCTTCCTATTGCCCTTATTCACTTGGGCTTTATTCTGTTATACAAAAAATAAAACGTAAGAATTGAACTATAAATAAATTAAATAATAATGAGATATAAAAAATAAAATAAACATTAAACAAATATTATTAAAAAAATACCACATAATCGGGCGCCTGAAAATGAGCGCAGAGCCACGCCCAACTATCCTCCCGGCCCTCAAGCTCCTTCGGGCAACCCTCCTGAAGAGCGACTTCCGGATCATCAAAGGCCTGGAAATGGTGGTGCAAGTCGCTCTTCCACTGCTTGTACCTCTCACCGAAGAGTCTGTTGACGTACGCCAAAGTCTCCTCGTTGAGGTCCTCTAAGTCGTAGTTCGTCTGCAATAAATTGATTACATACATTAAGTAATAGAAATATATAAAGTTTGAAAGAAAAATAATTAAAAGATAGGAAAAATACCGACAACTGGCCGCGAACTTGCATCTTGATCTCGTCAGGTATGACCTTCCAAGACTTCCATTGCATCGGGCAATGGGTCCGAACGACGTGGCCAATGTCGTGGGCCAAGGAGCTATGCAAGTCCGCCGTCGGTGCAGCCCGATGGCGCTCGTCATATCCGATGCTGATACGACTGTTGGTCACCCGGGTGACCTTCGCCGTCTTCAGCTGCCGACACGGCCCTCGGGTGTTCCTCTTGGCTGCAAAGGGATAGGACAATATTGTTACATATACAATCAAATTGAACCATCAAATTCCCAATTAAAAAAATGTTAAACAAAAAATGAAAGGGGAAGGGTATTACCTGTAGGTGCCCCCGAGGCACCAGTACAGTCAGTGGATGTGGTGTCGGTGGTGGTAGCGGGCCGGTGTCGCCGCCTAGCGCTAAGAGGCTGCACCACCGAAGAAGATGATGATGCAGCCGCCTGGGATCCCCCAGGACCAGCTAGCACGTGGTCCTGCTCCATCAGTGCTGGAGCAGTGGCAGCTGATACCGGCTGAGCCGGGGGCTCCGAACTCGGTGTAGCCGTCACCGCCCTACGACGTCTAATCAAGTCTGACATCTGCACAATTTCATTAACCCAATGTAGCACATACAATGTCAGTAAAAAATTGAACTAACTAATTAAAATCATAGTTTGACCTAGGGTTTGCGATTTCGGAGTATCCGGGACTCCGATCCACAATCCGTCGATTCCTAAACGATCCTATAAATACATGGTACCACATACGTGAGTTTCAGCTCGATCCAACGGTCCGAACATATCAAACCCTAAAATCGCACAATAGGTTCAAACCGTTCGAGACTCAAACGATAACCAAATTCCAATCCGAGCACACCTACGCGCTCGTGACAACGAAATGTTTGCACCGGGACAAAAAGCCCTATGCCACAGTACCCCACGCGCCACCACACGCGCCGGCAGCGCGTGGGTGCCCTAAGAGATAACGATCCCCGGGAAATCCTACAAATTAAGGGGCAAGGTTCCTACCCTAGGTTTAAAACATCAATTGGAGCCACTTTTGTTCTCGGACCTACCCCGGAAAACGGACGGAAGTGGCCGGAATTTGAATTTCAAAACCGGCCGAAACCTAGGGTTTCAAATTGACTACCCTATGCACACAATCAATCAAATCCTACACAACCATCAGCTAGAGCATGAAAAATAGGCCAAAAAGCATACCTCAATTGCCGGATTTGGTGCCCGGAGGAGAGAGAACAACGGCGGCGGAGATTCGGGCTAAACCGAGCAATTCACGGCGGCAGGATGGACGGCCACGGCGGAGAAGCTCCTGGGTTCGACGGTGGCGGCGGCAGGGTCTGATTTGGGGCGGATTAGGGGCTGAGGTCACGGCGGAGAGATTTGGGAGGTTTTAGGGTTAGGTTTCAGAATTTGGGGAAGAAGGAGAAGATCGCGATTTTCAGAAAACTTATTCGACTTTGCGCGACGAACATATATTTCCGTCGCGCAAACGTCATTAAAATAACCCTTGCGCGACGAAAACATTAACTTTTCGTCGCGCAATGTTATAAAATTGGACCTTTGCGCGACTAGAACAACAAATTTCGTCGCGCAAACGTGTGAACAGATATACCTTGCGCGACGAAAAAACTACTGTCGTCGCGCATACTTGTGCAGCCGCCCAAAATTTTGGGATTTGATTTTGCGCGGGAAAAAATCAATGCAATGCGATTGCGCGACGAATCCCAATTTCGTCGCGCATGCTAGCTGTTCCAAATAAAGCTTGCGCGACGCACTCTTTGTGATTCGTCGCGCAAACTGGCTTTTGATAAAAAAATTTCACTAAGTGCTGGAGCGGAGAGGAGAGGGAAATTTTTTTATTGATTTTGCGCGACGAACGGACTGATATTCGTCGCGCAAACTAGCTTTGGATAAAAAAAATTTCACTAAGTGCTGGAGCGGAGAGGAGAGGGAAATTTTTTTATTGATTTTGCGCGACGAATGGACTAATATTCGTCGCGCAAACTGGCTTTGGAAAAAAAAATTTCACTAAGTGCTGGAGCGGAGAGGAGAGGGAAATTTTTTTATTGATTTTGCGCGACGAACGGACTGATATTCGTAGCGCAAACTGGCATTGGATAAAAAAATTTCACTAAGTGCTGGAGCGGAGAGGAGAGGGAAATTTTTTTATTGATTTTGCGCGACGAACGGACTGATATTCGTCGCATAAGGTTTGCGCGACGCGTAAGCTTCTATTCGTCGCGCAAAACCATACCCCAAACCCTAAAACCTGTACCCTAAGCCCTAAACCCGAACTCCTGAACTAGTTTCAATGATCCAACCGACAATCTTCTTTTTTCATAGTTCAAGATCGTATACGTCAAAAATCATAATGAATGAACATTCAGATATTGAGTAACGGGACAAAACATTTCGACGGTTGTAAACAAATTGTCCCGATTCAACGGTGATTTTAGCTCCGATCTTGAAAATTTTTTGCAGCTGCGGTTCTTGACCCTATATGAATACAGAGATTTAATTCGATCTTCAATTTCAGATATTTACAGTACAAGACATCACATAATCTTATATTAGACTGAAGGAATGTATAAAGAAATTATTCAGTTTTTATGAATATTGTGTTTTTATGGAATACGCATTCTAGGAAACTAGTTTCAGTAATCTAGCCGTCAAATATGTTTGTTTATACTTCGAGATCTTATACGTCAAAAATGAGAAAAAAAAACATTCAGAGCTCAAGTAACGGGACAAAACGTTTCGACGGTTATAAACGAAAAGTCATGATTCAACGGTTATTTTGACTCTGATTTTGATGATTTTTTAAAGCTATATTGTTTAACCCTATGTGAATACAGTGAACTACTTCGATCGTCAATTTCAACTATATACGTGTGTATAATTCAGAAATATATATATATATGTATATGTTTGCGCGACGGGGTTTCTTTTTCGTCGCGCTAAAGAGACTTGCGCGACGAAATTATTTGTCGCGCAAATGGTAGAGTATGCGCGACGTGTACATTATCCGTCGCGCAAAAATTGCGCGACAATTATGTCTTCGTCGCGCAAACCACATATTATTAATCTGAAGTATTCATCATTACATATAATTACTTGTATGAAAGTAAGATTTATTATATTTTCTTTCGATTTGAGAATGGAAGGATTGTTGATAATCTTATGTTCTTTGTATTCATTTTTTCGGTTATATGGTTTTCATTTTTTTTAAAATTTTTTGTGAAAATAAATTTA